ATGTCTTGACAGATGGAGATGGGAAATCTATATGATGAGGGTAATGTTTGTGGGTGAGCGCACGAGAGACAGCAAAAATAATAATAGGAAAGGGAAGAGCGGAAGTACGAGTGGTTGCCACCTTGCATCATGCAGAAGGAAAGAAAAAGGGAGGAGCAACATGTTTTGGACTGGAGCGAAGGGAGGGATAGCCAGCCTGGTGAATTAGAGAGAACGGGAGTGAGAGAGTTTTTCCCTGCTGCCTCTGTCATCATCATCACCATCACACTGCTTCATGACTATTTCATGACCTCTGCTTCTGTCAACTCCCAGCCTTCCTGAGTGTAGAATATTGTACAATCAGAGGGCATGCTGGGAAACCATGCAACCTTCCACAATTATACTCAGTTTTTAATATGAACTTTACTCCACTTAAGAAATATGTGACAGTGCTGCTATTGTGTTAGGGATCTTCATCACTGAATATCTTTAAGCACCCACACATGTATTGGATTTATATCAGTCCCCTTTTTGTATACAATTAGAAAAATAAACCCCTGCAACATTCATAATTTCCTTCTACTTTTCATGACTTGGATCTTCACATACTACATTCAGTCATTGTGAACTATTCCCTTAATTAAGCTAAGTGATAAGGATATTTCTATAACAAAACAGGCCTGACTGAAAATGAGTCTGTGGCTGCTGACTCTTCTTCTTTGCTCTGTAATTAAATGAATGCAGCCACCCTGTGAAGGCTGTGATTTCTCTCCTGATGGGCTCTTCCCTGCTGCCCTTTGTAGCATGTGTTATGATGAACTTCACGCTCTGCCACCCTAGGATTAGCTTCAGGCTGCACTCCAATGCCCTACAGATGCATACTATCTTCCTTGGCTTCTCTTGTTCTTGAGATAGTCAGTGACCTAGAAAGGGCAGGTTCAGTCTAGGCAAGATTTGCTGGCTTAAGTGTGTTTTGACTGTTTTCAAGATTAGTTAAAGAAGAAAGGAAGGAGAAAAGGCAACAAGGACATGGAGATATGGTATTTAGGTATGTCTTGCTTGTAATGCTGTTTGTGATTAGGCAGGGGGCGAGTGATGTGACGGGTCAGACCCTGACCCTTAACTCATCCTGGCCTCACCACGCCCTGCCCCTCTTCCCTGAGGGGATTCCAATGTGCAGCTCACATGACCCAGGCCACTGACCTCTCTCCCATTCCTCTCATAACCATTCTTCTCTATAGCCCCATCCTCTCAATGTGCACTAACTTCCCTCTCTCAGTCCCCCCGCCTCTTCCCACTGCCTTACACTCCTTCCTGCATTTCTTCCACCTCCTACTCTTTCTCCTTTTCTGCTTACCCTCATGTTTCAGGGTCAGAGGCAGATGCAATGCAGGCCCTAACCTATCTCTGCCTCAGCCCTACACAGCCCTGGGCCTCGAGACACTGGTATGTGGCCAGACATGCGCATGACACACCAGGCCTCGGGGTGAACCAAGAGACTGCCTGAGTGCTCGACAACTGGACTGTTGCACCAAGGCTAGCTCAGGCAGTGGTGTCTTTTATAGGTCTGCGGAAAGAGGAAATGTATTCCCTAAATGAGATCTATTGTGTATGAAAGTCACCACTTAGACTGTTCATAGACAGGCTGCTGAAACAACGTGAATTGTGCCGTTGTAATGTCATATATATTCCATGTTTCTGTCAGTTTGACTTGGGCACGGCAGTCAGTCTCATGAGGCATATTATTTTCTTCCATTATCCGATGCTATGTTTTAAATCAATGCATCACATCACTTAAAACTGAACCCAGAGTTGTCTGTTTCTCACACCGACATGTCCCTTTGACACAAGTGGGGGAAAAGTGTTATCATTACTTCACTTATTCTCTATTTCTCTTTTCTCTGCCATTCCTTTTTTGGTTATTCTATATGCCACAGCTCTGTCACACACCATATGCATAACCTGCACCATTCCACAGTGAGTATGTTAGTTAACCGTCACAAAATGTGTATGAACTTGTAGATTCACATACACGGCACACACTAGGAACACTCGTAGGAACATTCTTAGGAAAAAGATAAGTGGGGTCAATGCAGCAGATGTTAGCTGTGAGAGCATTGAGGCTGGCTAGCCTCCAGGTCTATAGGGACTTTAGGAGTGCTTGATTTTCTTTTAATCCAGACACTCTCGCAGCTGGTCACAAACATGACCTATTTCACACATGACACACTGATCACTAGGGTGTTACATAGGATAATGTCCATGTGTGAATGCACGTGCATGTGTGTACCTTTTATGTGTGAGCCCATATAGGTCATTTGTGCTAATATGAGTTTGCACCATGGCTTCTTGCATATCTGTATTTAACACCCTGTGTCAGCTCAGTAGACCGCTACCTAGAGCATGTCACTACAGTTCAGTCTGCGCAGGGAAGCAGTTCCAAGCAAACTTTGCAGCTCATAAACATAAATCACATTTATTTTAGTTTACCTCATAAAAGAAATGTATACAATTTTAGAATGCAATTTATGATGAGACTGATATGTACTTGAGGTGATCCTATTGGTCATTTAATCCTTTCTTTATTTATTGGACTATTCGGAAAGTACCCCTTATAGCATAGCTAACTACTGATAACATGATCTGCATTGTAATACTCCTGCCGACATGTCTGTTCAGTTCTGTGCATTTGTGTTTGAGTAAACAATATAAATGACACTCACTTTACAAGATTGGAATAACACTGCAGCATTTAGGGAGGAAAAACTGGCCCTTGTAGACGTCAGATAAATCTATTTTATGGATCTCATTACATTTGTATGATCTATGATTATGATTCACTATACAAATCATTATGAAAAGGCTGCATACAGTTTAGCCAAAAATCTTAACCAGATGCAGCATGTGATGTTTCTTGTGACTCATTGTGGTTTTATGGTGTCTGCTCTTCAATGTTAACATTACTAGTTTAGGACATAGGTGTGCTCTGTCCTAAACTGCTCACTCCAGTTCTATAGATGCCACACCTGCAGTTCTTTTCATCTAGTCAAAGCTGTATATACTGCACCATTTTCCAACTAGATGTGTTCCTGATGTTAGACTTGTGGGTGCACACAATAGAAGCAGTAAATCTACTAAAAAGAGAGTCTTGAAAAAGAAGACAATGAAATAGCCATGATTCCTAGGTCATATATCTTTCCAAAATGTATCAAGCCTTGCTGAGAACAAGAAACACCACATTTTAATACAGAGCAGGGTCTTTCTCTGGTTGCCTTGATCCATTTTTCATGTATGTTTCCTCTATAAATATCAAAACTCAATACATTATTTTTGATATGGATTCCCCTTTTTATGCTGGCACTTGGTAATATACCTGGTGCAGCAGTGGGGAGGTCTTGCCTCTGTAATGTTAATTCACAGCCTGATTCTAATTTTCTTTAGTGAGACTCAGGGTTTCAAGGCTTTGCCATAACTGTCAAGCTTTGAACTTCGCTTAGTGGTACTTAGCTTTCAAGAAAAACTCAATGTACAGTATATGCAGTATTAGATAGACAGCAGGTGTGAGGTTGCTTTGTATCTACACTGAGTTCCACTATAGTAAGTTCTTACTCCTACCATTTCCCTTTCTTTGTCTCGCAGTGTTGAGCTTTGAAGTTCCTCTGTGCGCATCCACAGCTCTCTGTTGTCTGACATACTCAATTCAGCTGCAATGAAGGCTTTGTCTGGTTTTGTGTTCTCTGTCAAAAGAGCTATTCATGATTAATAGTGGTTTTAATGTCTGTTTTGCTACATTAACTCCTCACTTATGACAGCTCATATTGCAAGTCTGTGTTCTAACTGTCTCTGAGAATTTTTGTTCCTTACAAATTGCGCTGTCAAAAAAGGCCATTCCTTAAAGAACATCCCTCATCATGCCTCTTTAGTTTTAGTTCGGATCTACTGATGGATTAAATAACACTGAGATTGCCATGTCAACTAAGCCGCGATCTATGTTTATATGTACTATTTCTTGACGGCATGGGAGCAGTCGGTTGCATTAACTGTAGGTAACCATGTAGAGACATTAATGATGGCACACCTGCCAACTCTGATCTGTTTGCAGAGTGTTTGAGAAACGCAGGAAAACATGTTTTTGATGGAGATGAGTCAGCCAACAGGCAGTGCAGCTTTTTAAATTGCAGATGGCTTTCCCTAGTTGGCCAATTAGTAACTTTAGCTCTGGAACACTTATCTGCTTTCATCTTCTTGTGTGCGTCTTTCATTTGGGGTGCAGGGAGCTTAGTGTGCCTGTTTTCACGTGTGTGTGTGTGTGTGTGTGTGTGTGTGTGTGTGTGTGTGTGTGTGTGTGTGTGTGTGTGTGTGTGTGTGTGTGTGTGTGTGTGTGTGTGTGTGTGTGTGTGTGTGTGTGTGTGTGTGTGTGTGTGTGTGTGTGTGTGTGTGTGTGTGTGTGTGTGTGTGTGTGTGTGTGTGTGTGTGTGTGTGTGTGTGTGTGTGTGTGTGTGTGTGTGTGTGTGTGTGTGTGTGTGTGTGTGTGTGTGTGTGTGCGCGCACATTCATGAGTCTGTTGTCTGCGATAGTGAAACCCCACATAACTCTCTTTCTACTGCTGCTGGCTGTGAGAAAACTAACCACACTGTTAGATCCTGGATAATAAGCCAAAACACATACTGAGTCGCAACGAACATAGGAATGAGATGTGAAAGGCACCACTATTAGCAGTGCAATCCTGGCAGTATACAAATTAAATGAGTTAAATGGTGAGGAATTGCCTTTTACTGAGCTACAGCTGAGTTAAATAATGTGCAGTATTCTAGCAGCTTTTCCACTGACCTCAATCTTTTCAGGAAACATTCAGTGGAGAAATAGGATCACAGATTAAACATTATTACCAGCACATTAGGAATTTTAATGGGAGACACAATAGCTTTCGAATAATAAAGCCTTTCATTGGAATGTTTTATTTATTTATTTCACTTGATTAATTATATCTCCCCCTTTCTCTTTCTCTCTCTATCATGCAGGACCAGACCACATCCCAGTGAGCTCCTGTTGCATGGGAAACCCCCTTCCCTGGCTGCCGTCTCCTCTCCCTAGAGCTAGCAACTGCATGGCAGGATGAGCCTCTGCCAGCTATAATGATGGCCAAAAAGCAAGATGTCCGGGCACCCATATACAACCTGGTCGTGCTTGGGCTGTCCGGCACAGAGAAGGAGAAAGGCCAATGCGGCGTGGGCAAGTCTTGCCTATGTAACCGTTTTGTCCGGCCAAGTGCAGATGACTTCCACCTAGACCACACCTCTGTTCTTAGCACCAGTGACTTTGGAGGCCGTGTTGTGAACAATGACCACTTCCTGTTCTGGGGAGAGGCTGGGCGGATGCTGGAGGAGGGGCCTGAATGCCGAATGAATGTGGTGGAGCAGACGGAGTTCATTGATGATCAGACGTTCCAGCCCCACCGAAGCACGGCGCTCCAACCGTACATCAAGAGGGCAGCGTCCACCAAGCTGGCTTCAGCTGAGAAGCTGATGTACTTTTGCACAGATCAGCTGGGGCTAGAGCAAGACTTTGAGCAGAAACAGATGCCTGAAGGCAAAATTATGGTGGATGGCTTCTTACTCTGTGTGGATGTAAGCAGGGGTATGAATCGTAGCTTTGAGGACCAGATGAAGTTTGTCACCAACCTGTACAACCAGCTAGCCAAAACGAAGAAACCTGTGGTACTGGTTCTCACCAAATGCGATGAAGGAGTTGAGCGCTATATTAAAGACTCGCACACCTTTGCCTTGGCAAAGAAAAACCTACAGGTGGTAGAAACATCAGCACGCTCTAATGTCAATGTTGAATTGGCCTTTCTAACACTGGTTCAGCTAATCGACAAGAGTAGGGGAAAGCCCAAAATTATCCCTTACTTTGAGGCACTAAAACAGCAGAGTCAACAGATTGCCTCTGCCAAAGACCGCTATGAGTGGCTGGTCACCCGTATTGTGAAGAACCACAATGAGACGTGGCTAGCAGTCAGTCGCCGCATGCAGTCTTCTCCTGAGTACAAGGACTATGTTTTCCTTGAGGGGACAGCTAAAGCCAAGAAGCTCTTCCAGCAGCATGTGCATAGACTTAAACAAGACCATATAGAGAAACGTAGAAAGGCCTATCTAAGTACTCTGCCACAGGCTCTCTCTGTACTGTTACCAGAGTTGGATGAGATAGATCACTTGAGCTGGTCTGGAGTTCAGAAAGTCCTGGAGACAAAGAGAGATTTCACCCAATGGTTTATAGTGCTCGACGACACCCCTTGGGAGACCACACCACACATTGATCAAATGGACGATGACCGGATCCCACAGGACCTCCTGGAGACCCCCATAGCTGAAGCCATCTATGAAACCCACTTGGAGCATCTCAGAAATGAGCGCAAACGGGCAGAGATGAGATGGGAGTTCAAGGAGAAGCTAAGTGTCTCTCCTTTTATCACACCAGGGAAACCTTGGGAGGAGGCCCGAAGCTTCATCATGAATGAAGACTTTTATCAGTGGCTTGATGAGGCTGAATATCTGGATATCTACAACAAACACCAGAAGGAAATCATTGACAGAGCCAAAGAGGACTTTCAGGAACTGCTCCTTGAATACTCTGAGCTCTTTTATGAGCTGGAAGTGGACGCAAAGCCAAGTAAAGAGAAAATGGGAGCCATTCAGGAGGTGTTGGGTGAGGAGCAAAGGTTTAAAGCCCTGCAGAAGCTACAGGCAGAAAGGGATGCTCTGGTATTGAAACATATCCACTTTGTCTACCACCCCACAAAGGACACCTGTCCCAACAGCCCCCACTGTGTGGACAGTAAGATAGAGCAGATACTGGCCTCCAGATTCCCTACTCGCTACCCATCATCAGACACTACAAGACTGGATTTGGGGAGGGCTGAACGGATCAATCTTGTCATCCTAGGGAAAGATGGGCTAGCCAGAGAGATGGCAAATGAGATAAGAGCCATGTGCACCAGTGAAGACCGCTACGTGCTAGATGGCAAGATTTATGAGTTAGCCCTCCGTCCCATAGAGGGCAACGTACGTCTGCCAGTCAATTCATTCCACACGCCAACCTTTACACCGCATGGCTGCCTGTGTTTGTACAACTCAAAGGAATCCCTCTCTTATGTTGTTGAGAGTTTAGAGAGGCTTAGGGAGTCAACTATAAGCAGAAGGGAAAGGGAAAAAAGCTTAGCCCAACTCCCACTGTCCCTCCTTCTGGTTACCAAGCGGGGGGTTGGGTCAATTGGGGATATTGGGGGGGAGACAGCGCAGACTCTTATCCAACAAGGGCAGCAGGTGGCTGGAAAGCTGCAGTGTTCCTACCTAGACCCTGCCTCTCCAGGCATGAGCTACGGTCGCAATGTCAACGAGAGGCAGATCAACCAGATGCTGAAGGGCCTCTTAGAATCAAGGAGAAGCATAGGGAGCATCTCCCCTCCCTCACCGCCTTCATCCTCTGCCTTCAGAGACTCTCAGTCCCAGCCAATGCTGGAGGCAGACCTGAGAATAGTCATGTGCTTGATGTGTGGAGACACTTACGACATAGACCAGCTCCTTGCTCCATTCCTTTTACCCCAGCATTGTCGTCCTGCCGCCAGCCTAAGCAGTGGAACATCTGTTTTGCTGGAACTGAGTATAGGAGGTCAGAGGCTGAACATTGAGCTGTCACTGCTCTCTTTTCATTCCTCTTTCTCACTCCGCAAAACCAAGCTAGTTCACGGCTACATTGCAGTTTACTCAGCTCGCCGCAAGGCCTCTATGGAGACATTATGTGCTTTCCTGTGTGAGGTCCAAGACATCATCCCAGTCCAGTTGCTAGCAGTAGGGGAGAGCCAAATGGAGCTGTCAGACTCTGAGTCAGCTAAGGAGCAGGTCAGTCAGGGAGAGGAACTGGCCCATGAAATAGAGGCCAGGTTTAACACAGTAATATGTGGACACGGTGGGGTAGTAGGGGGGCTTCATAAGATAGACCTTTTCCAAACCTTCCTAAAAGAGGCAATAGAGAAGCGCACTATTGTTGAGGCCACACACATGTATGATAATGTGGCTGAGGCATGTACCAATGAGAGCATCAGCCCTCGTTGTGGCTCTCCTAGTCCAGTTAACATTCTTATGGACTCAGAGGACGATATCGACCCATCACCCCTGAGGGAGGATGGCAGTCTCAGTTCCCACCTTGGAAACTTCAAGTTACCTGATCTGGACTCGAGTGACACCTTCTCTGTCCTTTCTGAGCTAAGCACATTTGAGAACAGGCTGAACAACAAGGTTCCTCCACAAGTGAAGCCGAAGCCTGTACGTAAGGTTAACCTCGGCCCTTACATGGACCAGCAGGGTGGCACCAACCGCCGCTCCTTGCCACAAGCTGTCACCTGGGCTCCAGGTAGCGATGGTGGCTATGACCCCTCAGACTATGCAGAGCCCATGGATGCTGTGAGCAAACCTCGGCCCTCAGAAGAAGAGACAATTTACTCTGTCCCTCATGACAGCACACAGGGCAAGATTATCACCATCCGCAATTCCAACAAAGGCCACTCCAACGGCAGTGCTGGGGGGAATGGGTCCGACAGCGAGGCCGATAGCAGCTCACTTGAGCGCAGGAGAAAGTTGTCCGCCATCGGTGTAAAGCCTAAGCTTTACAGAGATAGATCCAAACGGCTTGGCAAGTTCAGCAGCTTTAGGACAAGCTTCTCCATAGGCAGTGATGATGAGTTGGGGGGTCCACCCAAGGCTTGCCAAGATGAAGTAGGAGCCCAAAAGGACAACTCGATTGAGGAGATTGAGGACCCCAAAAGGAGAAATATTCTTAAGAGCCTGCGCAGAAATACAAAGGTTAGTGTGCTTCCATCTGTTTTGTAATATATGAATGATGTAAAGTATGAGTCTCACCTCTGACTTAAACAAGTTTAAATCTCAAATGTAGAATCTTTAATAGCACAGGAAAAGTGTCACTTTTGTAACTAGCGAACATTTTGTTGTAATTAATGCCACACACACACACACACACATGCGCACATACAAATATTTGTTTATAGAAAGAATGGATAAAATGCCCATAATCCTTAGCACAATAAGCGGTCTGAGATTCAATACCTGTTTTCTTTAGTGGGTAACGGCTTATCGCTAAAGTCGAGGAATAACTAATGAGTTCAGTATAATCTCTTTACTCTCTGCAGCTAAGCTCAGTGAAAACATGCCATACCTTAGGAGTGCCTCTGAAGGCATATTATACTGCAAGATATATTTTATCTTGGCTGCTCTGTGAAATTCTCTAAACTAGCCACATAATCAGAGGAAAATCTTAATGAATAGGGACAGAGCCACATTATGCACTGTGCTATTGTATCACTTTGTGCTAATGTGTAAATCCCCATGGTTCAATCAAGTCTCCCATTAAAGAGCTGGCATAATGATGTTTGACATTTAAAAAAACTTGATTTGATTTGATCAACATCCATCTTACAATTATCCCTGTAGCAGTTCATGAAGATAAATTAAAACTCATGTTATAGCTCAGCAAATGAGTTGTAAACAGCCCTGCTGTTTAGGAAAACAATGCGATCATGCAAATGATCTAAGAGAATCTGAGCAAAGGACCTCCTTAAATCTAATGAATAACAACCAGCCCTGAAAGTAGAACAACTTTGCATTGTTTACAAATTATTTGTCAAAGGGGCAGTGTATTTGCCGTTAGTGATCTGTTGTTTGCCATCAGCGCCACCTAGTTAACGCAGTGCTTTTTTTTTTTACTGTTCACACAGTTGTGGGACTGCATGAAAGTACATGTCAAGTCTGGTCACTCAAAATGGTCAGCTTGGCTTTCTTTTTTTTGTGACCAACTTTTTTTTTTGCCCTCACAAAAGGGACTCATATACACAGATACAAATTATATAGACAATACAAAAAGAAAAGTATAACAAATATAGGGAATCCCTTTCCCATGCCACCCCGTCACTCCCACTTCCCACCCATCTTGCCATTTCACAGAAAATCCTACCTGATGTTTGTTAGCAATCGTCAGCTTGGCTTTCTTTGATTCCTTCCTTTATTTCGCTCATATTCACAGTGATTGTGTGTTCTTGCGGATTCATACTTTATGCTTCTCACATTCCTGTCACACTCTTAGTCTCTCGCCACATTATGTTTACCCCATATCTCTCTAGCCTCAGCCTCGGTCTACCGCTGGCTGTTTCTGTGCTTGTCTCTCACACGTGTTGTGACCATAGTTTTAACCTTACTCTGTCAGGCTTATCAGCATGGTATGTTGCTCATTCACACACATGGCGCGGCACAGAAGTGTCAGCTGTATATGTTGTGTGTCTGTGATAATTACCATGGCTGTCAGTATGGTGGAAAAGGAGGGGGATGATTAATGTTTTCACACACTGTGATGTCCAAATACCTGCGTGAAGCCTGTCTACTCACATAGCTACCCTAAACCAAGTTATTTCCTTTAGCCATTACTGATATTGTGTACTCAATGTACCTTCTCTAGAACAAACTACCAATTAATTGGACAAACCACTTCAAGCCCCATGTTATACAAGCTCTGACTTTTACCCGACCCTGTGCTCTGACCCTGTCCTTTGAGGGGGGGCAAGTGGGATCAATAAAATCTCATGTGACACATCATTAGCCTTGTTTGAAAACAAACTCCCAAGAAAGAAGCCAATTTAATTTGGATTACCATTACCTTAAGTTGTGCTTCTGATTTGTGCCCTACAGCAGATCTGGGATCTTGATAGCTGCATTGAAGGCCGTTATGGCTTGAATATAGTTGTAACAATGTGATCAAGTTCTATCACCTGTTTTCTAAGCAGCTGTCTGAAAGATAAGAGTCCATTTTCAAACCGCTCAGCCTGAAATCCCCCCAGGTTAACTGGCATGGTATTGACTTATTTGGCCATTTCAGGGAGATGTGTTTAACAGTGACTCTGGGTTGATATGAAACCAGTTCCTTAGAGTCTTGTCAGGGTTAACAATAAGTCAAATGTTCAGTTGCTTTTTTCAGGGTGAAAGTTTAGGTTTATGCAGTGTAAACACTTTCTTGGTCAGAGCCTTAGGGTGCTGTGTACCAAATAATTGAAACTAGACTCTGAGCCTGTTTCAAAACCCCCTTTACCTAGGCAATAACGTGTTTCTGTCCCGTCTGCCCTCCCTCAGCGAGAGGCCGGAAACATTTCCTCTTTTCTCCTGCAGCTTTTTTCAAACCTCCTCAGCCAGCAAGAGAAATGCTTCAAATTCCTCAGTCACCTAGTTCCAGTCTAGTGTCCTCCTCATACAAGAAACTAGAGGGAGGGAGACAATCAAAGGAGAAAACACAACTATGGAGCAAAAATGAAAATTAGCCGGAGAGAAATTAGTTATGATAGAACCGAAATTATTTTTGTATTGCGGCTTAGTGTTTCTGCATCCTACTGCGCACTGTGTATGTATACGCTCACCACAATGTCTGTATGTTATTATTAAGGATGTGTTTTGTTTGTCTTTTGTGGTAGAGATCTGTTTTGTCTTCTCAGCGCTGGCAACATATCCTGTCTCAGTCAGCAACTAAAAGGAGTGGCCAGAAGGCAGAACTACAGGGGGATAAGACATTAAGAGAGAAAGAGAGGGGGGGGGACAATGCTGCAAAAAAACAAACTGATATAGGGCACAGATACCACACAGTCAGGATGATGGGACACAAATAAATGATGAGCTGCTACGTTGGAGCTAAAAAAACAAGCTGGCAGTGAGTTATGACAGTACAACTCCATCACCACAGAGGCTGTTGTCTTGTAGCTTCACTATTATTACTACACCTTTAATGCAATGCAAACCCCACATGTTGGGCATATGTGAATAAATACTTCAACTGTAAATATGCAGATATTCAGCTAATTGTCACAAGTATAAGGATGTCTTTAGGTTGAGAAGGGAGCATTAAAGAAGTATCAGTCAGTGCAGCAGGGGAGTTTGTTGGAAGTGATAAGTAAAGGAATTCCTGTTGGGCATCAGTTCATCATACTTAGATAACTGGGCAACAATTGCTAATTTACTTGGAATGTCTTTTTTTCAATGTAACTTTTCCAGTATACCAGTTCGTGTCATTTGGGTTATCTTTCACATGTTGTTTCCCTGACACTTAAGCACCCAAATGACTGTGAAAGTAGCAACAGTTCCCTTTTCCTTCAGTTTATCATAATAACGTATCTACGAATGCCGCCAATAGAAGTTCTATTTAATTTCCCGTTCAATATCTTGTAGGTATTTCCTGACATACTCACTGATAATGATGAATCAGAATTAGAATCTGTTTTATTACCAAGTAGATTTACACATACGAGGAATTTGCTTTGGTATATATGGTACATTCAAAGACTCAGAAAGAAGAATAGGTAGAAAATATAATAAAATATGACAAATACTATATTCAAAGTCAGCTGTGCTGAACTAAAATAAAAATTTGCTTTAAGGTGGAAGTCTTCCAAAAGCAATCTGAAATATTGTGTAGATTAACAACTGAATGTATTTACTAAATATTCAAACAAAAGGTGGAGTCGAAATAGTCCAGGTGGACCAGTGATAGTCTCAGTCTTAATTAGTTTCCCTGCTTGTTTTCTTGAGCACCGTTGGGAGTGAATGTGTAGTTATGTTCTATCGAACATTTTTGGTGGAGTGCAGTGAGGCCAGTATATGGAGCAGAGGGCACGTCGGGCTTCTTCTCTCTAATGAGCCCTCATCTGCTTCTTTCCTGTGTCTGTCTATCAGGCCTGCACTGCTCCCACAGTCTGTGTGCCCAGCCAACCATGCATCCTGCCTCGCCACCCAGCCTGCCAGGGCAGAGCCTCAGGGGGCTGACAGACTTACTAGAGATCCAGGCCTCAGGGGCCTTCAAAACATTCCCCCTGAACATCATTAAATCACAGTACAATTACTGCTGATGCTTCAGCCATACCAAGGCAGGCAGGGAATGTTGCAGGAGTGCAATACAGGTCTCCTAACAGGAGAATAACAGGAGAAATTAATTTAGCAATGAATAACAGAGTTTGATTATCCTAGAGCTGCAATGCAGTATAGAGAGAGAAAGAGAAACACAGAATGCCTAAAGAAGGAGGGTAAATATGAGAAGACCAGAGGGATGAAGCAACTGATGCATATCTCATGTATGCACAAAGCAGGATTTAAGTCAGGAATGTTTGATTGCTTATCAGTTTTAAAAGAATGTGCGGGATGGGTGTGTGTGCATGTGTGTTTTCATCTTTTATGCTCAAGTAGATACTAACAAAAAACAGTCACATTTCAAGTACAAAGCCTCTAGGCTCAGCTTAATCTTAGACATGAATGCCTATGTCAGCAGTGTCAATGTCAAATGGACTCAAATTATGTTAAATCTACAACTTGAGACTACCAACCAATTGTATTTGTTCTCTTTTTCCTCTAGAAACCACGAGCTAAACCCAGGCATTCCATCTCAAAACCCGAGAGCAACTACTTTGGTTTGCCTCTGGTCACCGTCCTGAGTCCTGAGAGGCCAATTCCTGTCTTCATTGAGAAGTGCATCCGTTTTATTGAAACAACAGGTAAGAATCTGTTTTACTTTACCTTATAAAGAGATGCTTAATGTCATCGAATGCCGAACAAGCCTTTGTTTTTATTCTTTTAAGTGTTACCTGTTGAAATGATTATCATTTTGCCTCTATGCTTTACATGTCCTTTGAGCTTTTTTTTCATTTTCTTATTTCTGTTTCCTTATCTTAATCTTCCTCCCCGGTGAGAATACTGTGGTCTACGTTGCTAAGAGTGTGATTCTGTGGTACTCCTTAAATCACAGGCAGCCTTTGTATCCATGTGCATGTTTTATAGATGGTAGTGCGTTGCTGAGCTGTAGGCTTTATAGGTAAGCACCTCTGGAGAAGTGAAGCATTTTGTGCTGTAAACGTGCTTTTTTTAATAGCCTAAATAGGTGTCTCTTAAAAGTAAAGCAAAATTAGGTATGATGAAATCCTTGGATTAAGACTGTTTCTTGTTTGTAAATGTATATTACACAGAAATTGTTTCTGTGGCAACTCCCAAACTGGTTTGAGTAAAAGCTTCATATAGATTATGCTGGCTTCTGTTTCCAATGGCTACAGTACTTTCTGTAAACTTTCAAATGAGTCGGAGCCTCATTTCGATCAATGTGATGATGAGAAAAGCCAAGGGGGAATTTTAGCAAACAAATACGTTTGTTGTGGAGCATAATGTTGGAATTGCTCTTGTTTTTTTAACTAAAATAGTCTCACCTGCTTAAAATAACTTTGAAATTGGCGTGGATGTTTTTTCCACAAAACCAGTACCGCCTCTCTTCTACTCTCCTCTTCAGGAGTAGATGGAGTATAGATGTGGTTAGATAGCTGCTTCTAACCTTGCAACCCTGTTACCCAGATGCTTAACCCCCTGCCAGGTGCTGCTGGGGCCCCCCTGCCCCGGGATGGCCAGCTTTCCCGTCTGTCTGCCACCAGCTGTTACACTAAACCAGGGGCGACTTAGGTCAGAGTCGCAGAGTATTTCTGAATATTTGTATGCGTCTGTTTAATCTTGGCCATGCTGTAATAATTATTTAGATACTAAAGTCATTAGTCAGTCACCTACCCTCTACTGCGAAACACCTCAAAGAATATAGTTAAGTTAGCTCTTTAATTGTGTTTTCTGGAGCATTTACTGATACTATTTGGAAGATCTGTGTGAGTACTATCTATTTGACCCCTACTTAGTACTGCATCCCTAGTATTAGATTACTTTAACAGGAACCCACCAACTCATCAAGACATGAAGGAGCCATAAAACAACTAGACTATTTTGACTATTGTCAATGTATAAAAAATGTAAAGTCCGCCAAGGTTGCTTCAACCACCAGATTTCTTGAAAAAACAAACAGAGAACATGACATTGATGAAAGTAACCGTAAAATATATACTTAGTTTATACATCTAATAAATGCCAAAGAAAATGTGCAAATTACTTGCTTAAAAGTGTCTTTTTCATGACCTTCCTTAAAGTGAGTTGCATGCAAATACATTCCACTGTAATCTCTGCCCTGATTAAAGACTCTGTACTTGTGGATCACTGTGGCCTTACAAAACATCCAGCGTGTTCCTCTTTGAGGGAGTATGGGGGCAAAGCTCTAGATAACAAGGCATCGCTTTAGATTTCACCTCGCCCTGTTCAGGTGTTAACTGGAGCAGTCACAGCACTTAGTTCTGGATGAAGGACAAACTGGTTTAATATGCGTTCATATACACAACAGCAGGGCCGGTCCTAGACTTTTGGGGGCCCTAAGCTAGCTTTGGCTTGGGGGCCCCCTCACTCTAGCGCGTTCTCACTACACACAACATGGAACCAACTTTTGTCTTATGATGTTAGCATAAGCACACATATTGTATAAATAAGCATGTAAACACCGTAGACCTAACATCCTCTAGGAGGGTCCGGGGGCATGCTCCCCCAGGAAGATATTTTTTTAAATATTGAAGTTAAAGGCATCAATCTTGTGCACTTTGAGAGCAAAATTAAGAGATCTTTGGATACATCTCTCAACACCCATATGAAACAACTGTAAACAGATTTTTCTTTATGGATATTTTATAAATCACTTAAACTGTATTCTTGTTTTGTCATATAGTATTTCATAACTGTTTTTCATTTATTCTCTCTGGCTGTCCATCTCATAATGTTCACATAGAAACTAGCTGTCAATAGGAATATCATTCAGAAGAATTATAATTTCATGCAAAAATCTGTCACAAAAAGAGGTTGCCCATTTAAATTCAGGTGTTGTTATGGCAACGTCAGTGGCCAAACAGCCACATGTACTGCTGAAAATACGTTCAAACATGCTGTTGACACGTAAAGCAGTGGCAACTATGCCACCATTTCAGCTGACTTTTTCTCTGAAATACTGTTACAAAACATCCATATATTTTAGTGCTAGGTTGATGCTTAGCTAAGCTAACTATGAAACACTTTAACTGACAGGACTCCGGATCAACTGTGTACTGTAAGCAGGGTTGGGTTGTAACGGAATACATGTAACGGCATTACGTAATCAGAATCCAAAAATCAAGTAACTATTCAGCTCGCGTTACATTTGAAAAACGAGTAATCTGATTACAGTTACTTTCGTAAACCTGAAGTGAATACATTTTGGATTACTTATTGGAGTTATTGGTGGAAAGATTTCCTCACAACATTTAATATTCATTACTAAAGGTACAGCCGAATCATCACAGCGCACAAAACCTATTACCGCCGCAGATGGACCAAAAAAGGGAGCGTTTGAAAAAAAATTGCGGGTCCGCTCAGTGAAACAATAACAACGAAACATGGAGGAACAAAAGTCTGCGTTTAAATCGTGTGTTTGTAGAGGTGTATGTGGTTAAAACACATCAGCCACACTGCTCTTTAGCCTTTCTAATGAATCTGAAGGTAAACACAGTGAAGGCGGTGCGTGAAAGGCGGTGCGTGAAGGCGGTGCGTGAAAGGCGGTGCGTGAAGGCGGTGCGTGAAAGGCGGTGCGTGAAAGGCACTGCGCGCACCTCTTAGAGGCTGAGTTAACCCTCTCGCTGCCTCCTGGTGCTGCAGAGATTTCATGAAGTGAAGGAGGTTTTCCTTCTATAAAACAGCTGCGGGCAGCAGATACTGTGAGAGTCACAGACATGAATACATAGATCAAGGCAGACTGGTGCACACACTCTCCTGTTTTGCAAATCCGGCGCTTGAACAAATATAGCTATACTACACCCCTGGCCGAAATGTCCTTAAAATGAAGTCTGAGTTCGAAATTTTAATTCATGTCCTGCCAACACTAGCAGGACAGAAGGCGACACGCCCGTTCTAAGCCGTGTCCCTCACTCCTCACATCCCAAGCTGCATCCCCAAAAAGTGTATTATGTTGTTACATCGTTTCAGATGTTATGTTATGTATTGTAAATAAGCCATCTGTATGTCAAATATGTCTTATATGTCTTAAATGACATGATGAATTGGAAATGGGGGACCCTGATGTAAACAAGACGAAAGTCTTTCTCTGGTCTGCATCCCCTTAACAATTGTATGTTTTGAGCTGTACTGTACTGTACCCAATATACAAGCTGTTAATAAACTTTTCAATCAATCAATCAATTTCAGTTGTGCTCTTGATAAGCCATTAAAACAGTAAAAACACGTTCAGTTTCCTTTTGCTTTTTGTGTCTCCTGTACACCAAAACATACCCATCTGTGATGGAAAAAGAAAGTAATCCAAAAGTAATCTGATTACGTTTTTAAGACATGTAACTGTATTCGGATTACTTTCAGAGCCATGTATTCAGTAATCAGTAACTGATTACATTTACAATGTAACCCTCCCAACCCTGACTGTAAGGTAGCTTCTAGCTTCATGTCGAACCGTAAGTCAACATTTCCCAGAGAGCTTTCTTTGAAATCACCAGGTAACGCTACAAAACATTACATTTAGATTTTATGACAAAGTGTTTATTTAATATATCTGGCTAGCTATAGCTACATGCTAACGGTTTAGCTTACCCCCGCGATTCAAAGTAACGTCAACGTAGCTATAATTTATGCTTTGCTTACATGTTCGCATAACTTGGAAGTTTACTGACAATGTTTGCCTGGCTCAAGTGGTGGCTCTGGGGTTGTTGTGTGAGCCACCACTTGAGAATTTTCGTTTTTTTTAAGAAAACATTTTCTTATCTCCATCTTGAAAAACTCTGAGTCCGACTGACAGTTTATTTTAAACATTGTCACAGCTCACAGGATAGGTACCTGTCAGCCAATGAGACAGATGTTTATTTCCATTCAACTCTCTGGTTGGTCTGGTGTCTTGCCTCTGTTGCATTCACTGAACACGGGAAATTACAATCCTGCTGTCCTCTCATGATGAGGTTCAGGTAAAGCACGGTTAATGTATTATATTATTGACTCAATAATTTAATACATGACTTTGAGAGTAGGCAATCTAGGCATATTAACACAATTAATTAAACATACTTATCACTGCGACGGTGTACGGAGATTTTTTTTCTTTTTTGTTGTTGCTAGGGGGCCCCTTAGTGGCTGCGGGGCCCTAAGCGGCCGCTTATGTCGCTTAATGGGTCGGGCCGGCTCTGCACAACAATGTGGGTGCACATGAGGATGTTTTCCACTTCTTACTCTCACTCCTTCTTTTGGTATTTTGCCTAATCCTCATCCTCCTGTGCCCTTGTTCCTCTACTGCTTTCTCCAGTCATCCTTCTCCCTCTGTCTCCACGAGTACCTTCACATGTCACATTGGATTTTTCATCTCCTCCAGAACTCATATTTCTATTTCTCCACGTCTTATCGCCAGCTCTCTCAATTTTTTTCACCTGCAGTACCCGTCGTCCCTCCCCTCCTTCATGGCTCACTCTTTCCTCTCGTCAGCAAGCTGTGTGTGTGTGTGTGTGTGTGTGTGTGTGTGTGTGTGTGTGTGTGTGTGTGTGTGTGTGTGTGTGTGTGTGTGTGTGTGTGTGTGTGGTGTGTGTGTGTGTGTGTGTGGTGTGTGTGTGTGTGTGTGTGTGTG